GCCGATCAGTGGCGAAGAGGATAAAAAAAAAAAAAAAAAAATACATTTGAACGGGTTGAACTCATAAAACAACTTCGTCAACGCTACCTGACAAATATCGTGTGCTGCAGTCTATATCTTTTCTGAGTGCCGATGAATGCTTGAAGCCTATTAAATCAGATATACTTGGTTTGGCACACTTATTTACAGAAGATTCCAGCACCCTTACCAAGATTGATTTAGTGGAAAAAAACTGCATCACACAATCTGGACAGAAACATCTAACACCCTAAAAATGTGGTCAGAAGTGGCAAATTACAGAGATGCGACAGGTGAAAACCCTACCATGATCTAGCTGAAATTGCACTCGCTGCCTTATCTCTTCCGCATTCAAACGCAGATGTAGAGCGCGCATTTAGTAATATGAACTTTGGAAATCAAATTGCGCAACAAAATGAAACTATCGACATTAGTACTTACAATAAAGTATGGGTTAAAAAGACAGAACACCTGTTGTGCAAGTTATGAACTTCCTAGTGATATTTTAAGAAAGATAGGGACTGTGGAGGCATAGAGTTACAAGAGAACCTGAACCAAGCACTTCACATGCTTCCAGCTCTACAGTTGTTCACACTGCCGACGACTATGAAGAGGACTGGGATGCAATTACTATTGAATAATAGGTAAGGTGCACATTAAACTTTAAAAAATGATATTTTTATTTTTACATAATACATTTTATTTATACTCCGTCCATTATAGTCGGCATTATGAAAATATTATTTGCATCAAATTACTGAAGGGGGGAATAATAGCTAGCGACTTTCCATGGAAGATTTAGCGACATTTAGCAACTTTTAGGTACCAGCCTAGCGACATTTGAAACTCTAGTTGGCAAACCTGCTGGTGCGCAAATTTACTTGGACATCAGTTGTGTAGAACCGTCGGTCGGTAACAACTCACGAATGTTTTAGAGTTGAGCTGTAACCCCGAGAAGAAGACTGAGGTAGTGTTAATCAGGTACAGTAGTATCTGGTGATCAGGTTATCGGGCAATCAAGTCCAGTGTTGTGTGAATGGTATGATCTGGGGTGAACTGTCTGTACTGTACCAAGTTCATGTGATGTATTGATAAAATGTTACGAACAATATATGAACCTTTTTCCTCTTATTGTTCCATGTTATACTTGTTCAGGTAAATGGGTTATTATATAGACTAATCCACGAGCGAAATTGATTGAAAACAATTAAAAACGCCGGTTGTTTATCGTTATAGTATAGTGGACACTTGTAGTTTATGGAAATATGTTAAAAATTGATATTTTTAAATAAACGCTACTTAACATTTGTGGGTAGGAAGAACAAATCATACCAAACAAATCTACTCTAACCTGACCTAACTTCTCGATATATTAAACAGAAAGCGGTCCAATCTAATTACCTGTAGCCTTAAATGTAGAATGAAGTCAAATGATGGTCCTACAAGCATAAATCGGGCTGTGAATCACTTCGATTCTTATTTGGTGTCATAAAGTCACAAAAATTGGTAAACTTAATTTAATCTGAGTTGTGTTAGGTTAGGTTAGGTAAGGTACATGCACTCGATCTATTAACTCAGATTAAATTAAGTTTGCTAATTTTTTTGACTTGTGACACCAAATACTGTCGAGAAGTCATTGGCAGTCCTATTTATTCATGTAGGACCATTATTTGACTTCATTGCTACATTTGGGTAATTACTCCTCGGTACATGCATGCATCTATTAACTCAGATTAAATTTAGTTTTCCAAATTTTTTGACTGACACCAAATACTAGTCAGAAGTGTTTGGCAGTCTTATTTATTCATGTAGGACCATTATTTGACTTCATTGCGCTACATTTGGGTAATTAGTGGACCCAACAGAAAGAACTTAATATGATATGGTGAAATAGGCATTTTCTGGACATGATGATACGCGTAGCGGGCGCTTATGCAGCACTGGCTATTAGTCCTATATAACCGTAAATGTATGGTTTAAGCCAGCCTCGGCTATTATGGTTTAAGCCATCCTCGGCTATTATGGTTTTAGCCAGCCTTAGCTATTATGGTTTATTTTGTAATTATTTTGTAAAATAAATTAACCTGGTTACAGTTTATACAACATGGTATTGTTAAAAGAATTAACTAAAAAATAATATTGTATTGATGAAAACTGTACTGTAGTAGATACTGTTACATTATGTAATATGTTATTCATAAATTGACGATATTTCTGCCTACATAACCTAAAATGATGCTCTTCTGTTTTAGGATATGTAGGTTAGGTTAGTTAGGTAGTTTTGTTTCATTGGTTTGTCTGCCTTATTAACATTTAATCATCTGTAGCTGTTTACTAGCAAGTGTTTGGTGAACAAATACTTTTAATATGACAATTTATTTAAGGTCTTATTTATTGGTATAATATAAATTTAAAAAATTTATGGTTATCTGTACAAAAATGTTAAGTATAGGGAACGGAAGTGTTAATGTCTATGTAACATTTGTCTTTTAGTGCTCACAAAAACAGTTGATAATGGCCACTGCATAAACCTAACCTAACCAAGAATAATTATTATTACGATGTATACATAAAGACCTTTTGTATTAAAGGTCCTAGATGTGTTGGATGTAAACGGAAGAAGCGGGTAATGAATTTTCCATTTAAATTCAAGGTAAGATTTTAATTAATATCCAGTGGAGCTCGATGAATGTGGGTACCATCATCTAACACTAAAGGACATGGGTCTGGATTAACAAACTACCTAATGAAAAATCTTGATAGAAGAAAAATTTTTTCTGACCTTGAGATCAACCCAAATCAAATGGAGGAATTGCACTTATTGCCTTTTTCCCTACCCTTTCCATACCCAAATTACTAAACCAACCAACACAGCCTGGAAGTGTTCATTGTTTGTAAGGGACGACTGTGGGATGCATGCCTGTGTTCTGCCTAATATTAGGAAAATTTCATATCATTGTTACCCTTTTGGGGGTGGGTGGATATTCTTAACAATGAAAGAATAATTCATCGCCTTACAAATATGTCAAAAGTTGCTCTTTCTAGTAAGTACAATACTGGTATAAAATAATAGTATTAATGTCCATAACTGAAACTGCTCATGTAAGAACAGTTGAAGTGTAAATCTTTATAAATGTAATAGTCTGTCCATTTTGTAATAAAATGTACAGTATAACCATTTATTATGCCAGTTTGTGTTCTTACTGATTAGTGAAACAGTACTAGTACTGTGTGTGTTATGTGTCAGACACTTGAGTATGACCATAGATGTTGTGTTGTCATTACTGTACCTGCTGACTTTGGATACTTTATCTATTACTGATAAGATCAGGCAATCTGTGGAGTACGTAATCTGGTTACTTCCACAGAGGTCAGTCTTTCTTGTGTGAGCACTGGAACTGGTAGGTTGTGTCCTGCTGTTTGGGACTTTATTGTACTATACAGTATTTGTATTAGTTTTTGTTAAAGTCACTCCAAATATTGTGTTCCTTAAATGTACAATACATACACAGTATGATTATACAGTACATATGTGTTAGTGTTTTGTTTTAGTTTTATGTATTGCATGGGCTTTATATTTATTGTATTTTCTTAGTACAATACCAGTAATTTTATTCCATTTTGTGAGATTATTGAGATTGTTACTACAGTAGTTTGGTAAGATAGCATTTTTGATCCTCAGGCCTTGCACAGTGCTCTGAGCTGTGTTGGCAGCTGCTGGTGAGGCAGCAAAGCGCCAGGTCCCTGGGCAAAGTTAGCACTCCAGCACAACCTTGACTCGGTGGTGCAGCCGTTGTAGCTCTGTACAAGATGGGCTTCAGAGGAAATGACCGTGGGTCTGTAGTATTTTATCTTTATGTGTGATAATTGTACTGTAATATATAAAACATTCTGACCTGCTCGGGATTAACTGTTTATTTCAAATTGTTTATTTTATTATCTCAGAGTTGATATTTGCCTTGTGTGTATTCTCATGTCATGAGTCTGTACTATGTTAACCACTTGCTACTTGTTGCTTTCGTATACAGTTCAGCATATAACTTTGACACCATAGATATACAGTACTGTGCCAGATGCTTGACAATTCTATATTCAAATTGAAATATAAATAATCCTTCACGTAGATGCAAATGTTTTGGCGGGTTTCCATGTTCAGTATACCACATTGGATGAGGTTTTTCATGCCCTGTTTTATGCACAGAGATCTCAATTGTCATATTCATAAGATAATTTTGTAGTATACAGTATATCTGTCAAATAGATTAAAGTCAAATGAAGATTATTATGTGATTATGGGTTTTAAGATTGTCAACAGGATTGTCGCAGCAGCTACAAAAGCTGCAGAAGAGTTCAAGAGTGTGCCATTTTCAATGCCATTCAGGATGCCTTGGAGGCTGATGGACCTGCACTTATAAACAAGGTAAGCTCACTTTCTTTTATACTATCAGTGTTGTGGACATTGACATGATAGCATTGGTGAATAATGTGATGTGGTGGATAGTGTGCCCTAGGTCTATGCAGAACTTTGCTGAAGATGGTGGAAATATGTTTTGGTGTATTTATATAAAATTAGAGAAGCTGTCGAGCAAGTCTAAACTCTGTATATGAGAGTGTGAAGGACATGAAATATTGCAAGATAATTGTGTACAAGTATAAGACATTTCATGTATTGATGATGAGTGAAGAAGGAGTTATGTCAGAGGGTAGAACAGAGTAGGGATGGTGATTATGTAATAGAGAGAATTATGAATGATGGATCGAGTGAAGAGGCTTGGAATAAACATCAAATTATTCCTAAAGTTTATCTTATAACTATAGGATCAACTCTGTCACAGTACTCAGGAGGATGGATATACACCTCCCCAGTAGGAACAAAATATTTCATATGAGGTAAGCAGGTTTTTAAAGGTCATTGACAAGGAGTGATAGTTGTGAGAGCTTTGAGAAGAATTTTTGGAGAATGTTGATGTAAAAGAAGTTATAATAGTGTTAGTAAAACATACAGGTCAGTAATATTTTTTTTTGGTTGTAGGAGGTGGTTAGTTCTGAATGGAATGACTTTATGAAATTTTAGCCAAACTTCTTCACAAAGCCTCACCAATGCTCACTTCTAGCTGCCCCTTGCTCTGAACAGGGTTTCTACCTTTCAGCATCACATTAGACATCCACCTCACCAATCTTATTTTTATTTATTCACTGTCATCCAACATCACACCACTCATGATGTAGACAACTTTCCTCATTTGCAGAGAGAAAGTTCTCTCATTGTCAATAAAGGCAACAACTCTAAACTTTTTCCAAGCGCTTCCGACTTTAATGTGTAACGCTGGACCCCTCCAGCACTAATTCTGTCACTCAGGTAGCAAAACTCATCAACACAGTCCAGGGTTGCATTCCCATTTTGAGCATTTCTAGCCTAACTAAGGCCACTTGATTTCCTTCACATACAGCATAAGGTAAGGTCTGCATCATCATACATTCTCATTAACACACTGCACCACTTGTTCACCCACTTTCACATTATTGAGTTAATGCCAACTTTTTTCATCACACTCGATCTGAAGAGGAGTAAAAATAGAAAATAAATCGGTATCTAACAATGAAATGATCTGACGTGAAAACTTATTTTATAATTATTTTCAGGTGAAAGGGTTTATTGCTTCCAAGTTAAGGGTGGTCCTGGTGGTAGTGAAGCCAAATGGATTTTGTTGATGCCAAAAATGACCAGGATCAGTCACCTTGAATGGCACAGGTTAGTTGGACATATTATTACCTTTTATTACTACTTAAATGTGAGTATTAGACATAAACAGGTCTTTGGACTTTTTGTACCTAGATTATATGTACAGTACAAGTACTACCAGCACAGTGTTGATAAATCTAAATATATATATTGTGTTTCTGTTTACCAGCAAAACCAGACGTCACCATCACCATGACGGACGAAGACCTCGTTAACCTGATGGAGGGCAAGTTAAACAAAAAGGCTTTTTTTCCAAGGTAAACTTAAGATCAAGGCAACATGGGCCTGGCTATGAAATTACAGGAGTTCAAAAGCAGGCACAGCAGCTAAAGGCAAATTGTAGAAGTTCATTTTCCTAATCCTATCTGTGTAAACACTCCATGCACAGCTGTCTTAAACTATTCTCATATTCCTTTCTTACCACTTACAACATGCTTGTTCTGGACATCATTACCTCTCTTGGTGCATCTTGTGAATATCATGCAAGTTTTTAACAAGTCCAGTTAATTCATACTTTCCAAGCCACTCATCCCATTATACAGGAACTGTCTGTCTTATTTTCACCTGAATTAAATAAAAAAATTTGGGTGTCTAGTTGACTGATCAGTACAGTACAGTAGTGGAAAGTATGACATTAATTATCCTCACAAGTGGTCAGCCAGTTGAGAAGTGTAACACTATTTGTAATAAAATTTGGGATAAGTCTACCATATGGTTGTATGTTTTATCCATGTTAGTAATATTACCTTGCCCTACATTGCACTATACCTGTATAAACGATCATTTGGGTTGACAATACCCACAGTATATTGAATGGTCAGCCTGGAGGCTCTGTACAAGGAAATACTGTACATAATATGCATTATAAGTCTAAAAGTTGGTAATGGTTTGAATGATATAACTTGGTATAAATCAAACAAGTTTTTTGTTGGCAGTAAGTGTGTATGTACAAAGCTTTACTGTATTAATAATTATCCTTAGCCAAAACTTCAAGGGTCTGAAGTTGATAGCAATGCCTTCAATGCAACATTTAAAATTGTATGAAATATTTTGCAACTGCAATGAAAGCAATGCCAACAATGCAATAGAGATTTAGACATTAACATTTTAACTTTTGACTGCATGTTGACTTGCACTAGAATGTGTGTGTTTAATGTTTTGCATTTTTATATTGTAGCCATTTGAAATTGTCTTTTCATTTGAATATATATAAACAGTATAAGTTTAGGCTAGTTGATAAGAGCTTTTGGTTATTACTTGAAATATCAATGTTATTTTAGATATACAGAGATATATGTCTTATTAAAGAATTCTATACAGTTGTGCACTTGTTACATTTCATCCTAAACTGTGATACATTCACCATAATGTTTTAGATAAAAGCAATTTTAAATCATAAAAGATGAGGAAACGACAATATGACAAGGAATGATTTACAAGATTGAAAATGAGGATTTAGATTAATATTTTACCTGAAGGATTTCTTATAAAGAATTAGGAAAAGTGTGAGATTAATTAATTATTGTAGCACCCCATTTACTGAAGACCTGGCAGAAAACTTGAGGTCTGCAGACCAATTATGTGCTATTTATGCTAATTGTACTGAAACAGTGTTGGGAGAACTGACCAACAAACTTTTGAGAAACATTTCCACCAAACTGACTCCTAACTTCCAGTGGTAAGGTGTCATTGACCTGAACATGGGGTAATCTCTATTCTGCCACACTCGGAATCTTGCAGTAGTAGGTTCAGCATTTAGGACTTTCAAAACCATTAGGTAAGTACTGGTACTGTATATGGTAGTTGAAGTACTGTAATCACACTTGGTGCCAAACATTTTGTGACATGTTCATAAAAGGTTTTGTCTGTAACATTAAATATGTACTTCGGATAAAGCAACACAAAAGCAGAGAATGAGAGGCCACTGTATATGGAGGAAAGTTGATGTACTGTACAAATAATTATATGAGACAAAGTGATAAGATAAATATCTTGAGCCAGATAATTCTCACTGGTTTCCATTTGCCTTGTCTTGTACTTAACAATGCTTGTGATGGTTGTTAAAGGTTAATATGTTACTGAACAACTTAGGTAACAGACCACAACTCCTGTCTATGACAGAACATACAGAGTTGAACTGAATATGTACTATAACCAAAACAATGGGAGGAGGTAGTACACAAGCCACTGTTTCAATGAGTGGCTACATGTAACGCAGGTATATGTTCTAAATAAGAGATGCATTCAATGTTATGAATAATCAGGATATGGACCTAATAATGAGCACAAGACCAGCAACTGACATTAGAAAGCCCCAACCTCAGGTACCTCCTGGCCTGGTAGTGACCACAAACGATATGGGTGATAAGATTGAGTGTAAACAGGGAGGGCAGCTGCTGTTCCTTAATTCTTGTGTTCTAAGAATATTTATCACAATTTGCTAAGTTTATTTAAGACTACAGATATGTACTTTTATTTATATTCAAAGTGAATACTCAATGGTATACCAACTCAACCATTAACTTGTTGATGTTTGAAAAAATAAAAATTGATGACTTCTTCATACTTTTTACTTACTTTTATGCTCAGAATATTAAACATTTTCCTTGAAGTAGAGCCAAATTCCGAGTTTTAATGAGTCTCGACACCGCAGTACAGTACTAAATGGGTGGTGGCGTAAAAATTAACTAATCCAATATTATAAATTAATTTGATTGGAATTACATTGTTTATTTTACCGTCACACCACCTCAAGTATATTGCATTGTCTCCCTCAGGGCTCATTTAGTTTAAAACTCGGGTTGAAACACGACGACTCTCTTCATGAAAGATGTTGTTTAATATTACGGGCTTATCTTCTTCACTGATTGGCTCGTAGCCACTTGGGCAATCGGTCACGTCTCTGTAATGCACTGATAGCAAGTACTGGGCATGCTCTGGCTCCTGAATGTATCTGAACCTGCTCCAGTACTGACTAAGTCAGGTCTCGATACTTCACAGTTTTCTGGTTCATGTGCTCAACTTTGAGCTGTGACCCCAGGGGGGCGTGCCCGCCAGCCTCCAGGTAAGGACACTTGACTGAGTAGTGTCCTTGAGATGCTTATACAGTGATCCTGGTAATTAACGCCTGTTAACGAAATTTCGGTTAACGAATTACCTTCCATAAGAATATTCAATTCGTTAGTTCAAAAAATTTGGATAACGAAGTCCTACGAATTTTTCCCAACATGTTTTCGCTTGCTCACCAGCTGTAGTATTAGTCCGCCAATACAGTAATAGGTTTTAGGGCTTAAATTCGTTACCATTTGAGTAAATATCAAGAAGGTTGTACTATTCAATAATTTTCCAAGTCTTATATTAAAATTTTTAGTATTTTTAACAATTATTTAAAATAATTGAAGAGGGAACTGTTTTTAACACACCAAACAGTCACTTGACTCACCCAGAATGGCGTTAGTTTGTGTCTCTGCTCATTGAGGAAGCATCTTGCTTGAGACTCTCTAACATAAACTATTTTACGTTTTATACAGTAATTATTGGTCTTATTGAAATTTGTTTTCATATTGACAATATATAATGCAGTGCAGTGTTGATTTAAAGAAAATAATCTTGAATTACACCAAGTGAACTTAAAATTTTATGGGTGAAATGGCGGCATGAAGCATGGGTGATTTCTCTTCCACCCCCACTGCCTTTCTTCTCTTCTCCACCCCCACTTCTAATTCCCATCATCATCATTATCTACCAGAGCCTTCACATGCACACCTCAAAGTAAGTGTACTTTTACTGCATTTTTTTAGTTTGTGTAATTTTCGGTGAACTGGAACCAATACCCAAAATCCCATTGAAACAATGATTTCGGTTAAAAATTTTGGTTAACGAACGACCTTCTGGAACTAAGTTCGTAACCGAGAGACCACTGTAACCTCAGTTAGGATTCCCTTGCCCGTCGGTAGTATAAGCTAGGCAATTGCAGGCGCTCTAATCTCTGGGTAGCTGAGGTGCCGAAGTGCCAGCACCAGTCTGCTGGCCATGCTTTGGACATTTTCAATCAACTGATAGTCCCGAGCATATCTCGACCAGACAGGGTGACAGTACTCCAGGCAAGGAAACACCTCGCTTTGTAGATTGTTGCAAGGGACGGATCGTCTATATCTGAACGACCTCATTATAAGACCTAAAAAAAAAAAAAAATTTAGTTGCTTGGTTCACCTTCTGACAATGGCCTGAGAACTTCAGTTCATTACCAACATAAACACCCAGGTCCTTTTCACATTCAGTCTCAAATGATACTCCTTTACTGTTGGTACATCCCAGGTGCAGCCCCTACACTTAATGACAATGAATCTTTGCCATTTCTTCGACCATTCCTGAAGCTCACAGATATCTTTCTGCAGCTCTTCACAGTCTGCTTGGTTCTTAATTTCTAATAACTTGACATCGTCTGCAAACATTTGTATGGAGGAATGTATTGCTTCGGCATGTGAAAAGCATTAATTTTTCCGATGTTTTCTAACATTTTCACACACGCTTGATAGTGGTGGGATGACATCAGTGGCTGGGACACTGAAATAACTTATTAGAAAAGAACATATGAACCAGGGTTGTCTGGTTTACTTTTCAACATCAGACCAAATATTCTACTAAAATGCCAATTATAAGGCCAATTTACAGTCTGATTCGACTATCCATAACAGCACATACTGAAGTAATATATTAGTGCTAGTCACCATTTGTTGTTGAGTTTGAAGTGCTTTTGTGAATGTACATAATTAAAGTTCTAAAAGGTCACCAGCTTTATTTCATTACATTCTTCATATTCTATTTAGCCATGTTCACCCCCCGATTTTGACTATACTGTACCCCTTTAGAAGAAAACTATGTGGACGTCAATGGTTGTGAATGTATAGGTAGGTAGATAATTTTGGTTGGTAGATTGATGGAGATGGACATATACATGGATACTTAAATAGATAGATAGATAGATAGATAGACAGATAGACAAATAAATATTTTGGTTAATAAGTGAACATCATATACACACGTTATTGTTAGTAGTATTTATGGTAAATATGATCGCTATGGTGTGTTATTGGTCATCACAAACAAGCACAACGATCCAACACCTCATATTCAAGTCCTCACGAACACCAAGAATTCGAATCTTTATAACCGAAGCTCAAATCTGGATTCATGAAGCTATGAACTTATTTATGTAAAACAATGCGTATATAATTGTCTTGGTAAACAACTTAAGATAATTATTGTCTTGTTAGTAATCTGAAGGAGTGATATTTATTACCTGGTGTAAATAAAGTCTATTTTACGAACGTTTCAAATGCTTCAGTTTATTTTGATTAAGGAGTGAGTGAATGAGATGCCTCGAAGCTTCAGTAAACTTGAGAATGAAGCTCTTGCAGCAGGTGTGGTACTGTGGTCTCGCTGGCTCACTACGTGACATCTTGATGGCTGGACTACGTCGCCCTGGGACCTACTGACTGTCTGCCGTAGCTAAGTACACGTGATGGTGTGGGGGAAATAATTATAGTACTGGGAAGTGATTATGGTGGTGTTTAAGTGCCTGGTGGTGGTGAGGGGGAGGAGGGGTGCCTGGTGGTGGTGTGGGGGGACGGAGGGTGCCTGTGGTGGTGGTGTGGGGGACGGAGGAGTGCCTGGTGGTGGTGTGTGGGGACGGAGGGGTGCCTGGTGG